GATTTGTGTTTGTTCCTCTTGTTCCCCTTCTCCAGGTATTCTTTTCGTCGTTTAACAGAAGTAGTGCAATCCACGTCGCAATTATTGCTGCAAAGTAATGAAATTGCAATTGGTTTCATTAAAAATTGGCCAATTATAATTTCAAATTACTTGACTCGGTAACTTAGTCATTCAATTACTGTAACTGAAGTATTACCCGAATAGGTTGCGAGCCAATTGAAAAATTATTAAGTTAAATACGAATGGTGTAGTCGGATTAGTCCGAGTTGCAAAAGCACAAGTTGCTTATGGGTTGTCATGGTGCTTCCTATTTTTTTTTTCTCAGCTGAGCTCTCAACACTGCAACCACAGAGCCCTGAAACTGCCAGGGGCCCAGTCCAGTGGTGCTGTTCGTTTCTAGAGCCTCTACCAAGCCCCCTCGGGCTTTTCATCCTGCTCCACCTACTTTTTGATGTTGAATAAAGATTTGATCTGTTCACCTATTGTGCTGGAGATTGAACTATAGGGGGCGCTTTATCGAGCTTTTCCCCAGAGCCCCACAGCCCGGTGTTTACTAACAGCATGAAGGGGGGGGGGGGGTGGGGGGGGGGGGGGGGGGGGGGGGGGGGGGGAGGGAGGGAGGGAGGGAGGGAGGGAGGGGGAGGTCGGTGGCCTACGCAGATGATATCGTGTCGTATGTATAGCCTAGGTAAGTGTCGTTTTAAGATGTGATTATTGTTATTCAGGTTGAGTTTCGAAGAAATGTCCAAACATGTATCTACGGGCAATTATGCCCTAAACTTGGTATTTATTTTCGTCAAGTTTTTGTGGTATCGCATTTAAATTAACACCACAGACTGTACATATCATTGCCATCTAAGTTCAACACGTAAAAAAAACTTGGTTTTTTTTTTCGTTCCACATTCCTGGGACGTGTATCTTTTAGCCTATGGGTGACATTCACTTGACGTCACACGCTAGGTTTGCTGGCATCGCCCACCAAGGTCGCCATCTTCGATGTCTCTTGCTGTCGCAGGTGTTATCTGGCCGGACCTTTTGAGCGTGGTTCAGCAGCATTTTACAACTGTAAAGGGTCTTTTCGACCGAAACTAGGGGTTATTCTTATACTTTGGTGCTTTTGAAGCGCCGTTGGAGTATTTTTTGCGTGTTTTAGTTCGTTTTTGTCGCTATCGGAATCGTTTACCCGCGGCCGCGTTGCTCCCTCGGCTCCATGAAGAGCTCCGTGTCGCGCGCCGTGTCCACGGCGGTAGCTCTTGCAAGAACTGATTTTTCTACCTTGGTGCTTTTGTGGCACGGTGTGATTACTCTTTGTCTTGTTTTGCTAGTTTCTTTATTGTTTTTCTCTAGGGGATTTTCTTCACTACGGCCGTGTAACCGTGTTGCTCCATCGCCGCTGTGTCGTACATACGTCGCGCCTTCGGTGTTCGTTCCTGTGCAGAAACATACCGTGCGGCTCACATAGTGCGCAGCTTATGAAAATTGCGACGCATTTTTCATTAGCCGAGCGATTTAAAAAACCGCATGTAAGCGATTTGGCAAACGGCGAGGCAAGCGACGGCGACCCGCTTCGCTGCCGCTTTGCTGCCGCTCGGAACCGCATGAAAGCGACGAGAGCACACGACCAAGGCGCGCCAAGTTTTCTAGAAATCTCAAAACCGTGCTACGCGAGGAGCGACATTGAACGGTTACCCGCATGTGAGCGATTTAGCGAGCGACGGCGACAGCGACGGGAATCGGCGACGAGCGACTGAGATTTCTCACGGTCGGTCGTCGCGTCGCTCGGTTTTTGGATTCCCAGAAAACGTCGCTAATCGCCTTGGTCGCTTCCCCCCCCTCGTTTTCACGGAGTTTGCCTCGTCGCGCGATTGACCGAGCGACAGCGAAGCGGGTCGTCGTCGCTTGTCTCGTCGCCGTCGCTCGTCTCGTCCCGTCGCTCGCTAAATTGCTTACACGCGGTTCAGCCTTTACACACGGTACTCGGGCGGCAACAAGGAAACTAAAACGGCCCCGCCCCCGAGATAAACCTTTTTCTCTCTTGTTCAACGAAGCTTCTTCAACTATATAAAATTAGCACACACGACCGCGCACCCCCAGCCAGTCAAACCGCGACCTCGAAGATGGCGGATTGACGGTATCGCTCCCTGGCAAAATCGAACCTGCAGGCTCAGTGATTACCACCTATACACGTTTCGGTAGGAGGAACTTGTTTCGAAGTTCTGAGCCTCTGAATATGCAAGAATACAACACTTTCGGCGAATTCTTGATTCTGGTTTTTTTTCTCTCTATCGTTTCCGCATTTAATGTTAAGCTTATTTTGTTTATTAATGGCACAGTTATTCAGGTCGAAAAGACAGCTTTGAACTTCCGAACCACTAAGCATGTGGCAAGTAGCGCCTTCTGACAACGAGTTTCCGACAATGACAATCTTACGCGATCTTTTATGCATTGAAGAGCGACAGTAGCTACATATGCATAAATAATTTCAGATTAAAATAAGCTCGACCACGCCCTCCTTCCCTGTATTGTTTCCTTTAACAGTCCAAAATATCTGGACGGGGGAAAGGCTGGCTGCAGCCGCCCCCCCCCCCCCCCCCCCCCCCCCCCCCCCCCTCCTTCCCCTCTGTTTTTTCCTCTTCCGACGCAACTGGTATGGTAGAACGCTCCTCGACCTCGAGTTCTGTCGGCTTCTGTGCCTTTTGCGAGGCGATTCCTCCGTCCCGGAAAATAAACCTCCATCAGGACAATTGCAAACTAAACTTACTATATGCCAGCGTCACTCGGGCGGCGTTCGATCGGATTTCTACCAGCGTGCAAGGGGCGGGGAGGTAGTTTGCCAGGTCGCTTCAAGGTTTTTCTGAGCCTGAACCTCCTGCCCGCCCCTGGCCATTTCGAACTGGATTAGTATCGTAAAAACAGTGTGTTCCTGTGATCACTACTGCGTGATGCACGTAAACCCCCCCCCCCCCCCCCCCCCCCCGGGCTGGCGGTCACAATTACTAATCTATGGTCACACATCACGCTGCACTGGCAATGATTTCCAGCACATCCGGGACACTCGTCATCTCATTTAACTGCCTGACCAACTTCGCGGAGTCTAAATATCACACCCTAACTTTTCTAAACCTAATTTCGTGAAATGAAAACTAGTAAGTCGTGAAAACGTTTTTTTTTTTTTTTTTTTAAACAAACTGTGGAAGAAAATGAAAACCGGCCTTCGAACTTTGAAAACTTGAACTTGAAAGAAAATCAAAGTCGAATCGAAACCTTTGAACTTTATTTAGAAAGAAAAATCGAAATATTGGAATTGTACGAACTTCATGTCTATAAAAATTCGAAGCGTTCGAATTTTCGATTTGGTCGAAATAAACGCGGGCGGGGTGAATAAATAAAAACACACACATACACACAAAAAAAAAAACAGTACAAAGATTTTACGGTTTATAGAAGGTTTATTATCCCTACTCATACCGTGTGTCTATACATTAATCCCAAATTCCTATCGCGAAGCAATACCCAGACAGAACATGCATATTCTGAGGACCTCCTCAAATGTCCCATTTGGAAGTTGGGATATCCCCAGAATATTTGTGGTGGGAGATATATTTCCCAGAAAGCCCTTGGGATATCTATTTGGCCCACTTTTTTTAGTCCCCAGTATATCCCCAGCATTTCCCCTGGGATGTTGTCAGTATTTCCTACGTTCATCCGTGGGATCTCCGTACCAGATCCGGGTTGTCCTTGGGGATATCCCCAGAATATTCGTTGTGGCAGATATATTTCCCTAGCACGTCCGTGGGATATTCTTTTGGCCCACTTTTCTGGTCTTTAGTATATTCTCAACATATCCCTATGGATGTTGTCAGTATCTGCTACGTTTATACCTGGGATCTTCGTACCAGACCCTACGGGTTGCCGTTTGTACACTAGGTCTATACGTGGGGCCTTACAGGCAGCTCCAACATACAGCGTGCCGACATCGTCATGTGCTGGTCAGACTATGGTAATGATTTAATTTCTCCGTCGCGTTGACTGACTGGCACACAACGCTGTAGGCAGTGGCCTGGATCACACAGCTGTCAGCTGCAAGTCAGGTGTGCACCAATAGACCTCGACCGCGCAGTTTGCCAGCTGGGTTCTTACCTAAACATACATCTTCCACAGTGACTATGAGCTTGGCAACAATAAAATTTTATGCGAGTGAGCTTTAATCAGCTTTAACAATATACAGGGCACAAAAACAAGAAATAGAGAAGGAACAGTTGTATGATAATTGACTCCGTAAGTGTGACGTCATGGGTCCAAACAAACCGTTGCTAGGGTCATTGTTATGGACAAAAATACATGTGGCTAGGTTTCGCTATGAAAAACCGACCGTTCAAAAATCAGAAGTAAATGCAAAAATGTTCCAAAAGCCGGGATTCATGATTAAAAACAAATACCTCCGACTTGCATAACAAACGGAGTACCCGCCTCAAAGAGCACAAAAGAGACGTGGAGAAGGCAACACATGCCACAAGATCAAAAACTGAACTGGTGGATCATTGTTGGACGACTGGTCACACTTTCGACCTGGCGAACGCTGTGACCCTGGCACGCGAACAGCGGTGGGGCCCCAGAAGATTTCTGGAATCATGGTGTATACGTATTCGCAGTGACCCATCTGCCTGCAATTCTAACCGCGGCCCCCTCCCCGACGTATACACCGACATCCTGAAATAACTTGTCATTTAACTTACCATCCAGGACGGACGTAAAAAGAAGTTGAAGCGAGGGCAGACGATGATAATGTCTCCCGTATGGCATGGACGAAGTCGGCAGAACCAGCGCCACGGATGAAGAAGCGTTGGATTTCTGGCAGCTAGTCGGGTGTTCCCTGGCCGCACTGATGATGTCTCCCGTATAGGAGACGAAACGTCTGATATATGTTGATATTGTTATGCAAGTCGGAGGTATTTGTTTTTAAATCAGGAGTAGGATTTGAACTTCTAAAAATGACAGATATAGAAAGCTTGAATGTCATATATGTTTCGACAGAAGTGTGACGGTAATCGCTTGTTTCTGAAATATTTACGACTGCAACTTCCGGTCCTCAAGATTCCTGCAGCAGACGACGAATGCAAGAAGTATGCCGTCTGCCACACGCCGGCCGGCCAAGCCGGCGCCGTTGTTTAAATTGTGTCGATATTCTGATATTGCATTTGTTTGAAACATAACGAGTTTCAGACATTTATAAGAATTCATAGTGGGGTGCGATGCAAAATATGGTTTATCGAAAGTCCGGGCGTCGATCAAGATGATCGTCTGCTAAAAGATCGCATTGCACCCTTGAGAAAAGCACTTCACGCGATCGGTTGAGATCCCAAATTTTGCTTGCGAACTCGCTTTATGGGAGGGTGCTTCGTACCTATTTGTAACCATCGCGCGGAGAAAGATCCCTGCAGTTTATTAGATTTCCGCAAGAACCCAAAGCGCGAAA